TATTTTAAATTTTTTTCAAGCTCTGTGTAATGCACAAAAATTGGTGTTGAGGTGCAAATTAGGTGGATTTTTGGGGTTGTCGGAAAATTTGGGTACGTAATGGGGGGTGCACAATGGATTTGTTCAATTTCAAATAAAATAAGGGTGTGTACTGGTCACAAGTCTCCACAGTAATTCCTCAGTTGTAGGTGCCCAGGAGCAGGTGCCCACCTGGTCAATGCCAGGCATCGTCAAAAGCAGTGAATTTACTAATTACCGTGCAAGGTCTCAAACTATCTCATTTGCAGATGCTCTTCTGGACAGTACTTGTCATTGCACACAGCAGAAAAAAATCTAACAATCACACATCTGAAGACGTGCAGACAGACACACCAGCTTTCTCATCAACAGGTGCCCTTTTCTTGTGGCTTGCTTGCTACAGCTCAGGGGCCGGAAATCTGCACCTGACAAAGACAACCCTTTGTCTTGAAGGAGCCTGTACCTGCCTCTTTTGCGTTCCGTTTGTGTGAGCTCGCCCCGCCTGCCTGCCTTTTCTTATGCGCCTACCTCTCCTGCCTTCCTTTTTCTGCCCTTCCCGCATTCATTTTTTGGCGAAGCCCCATACATGGGGCGTGAGCCCTTAGGTTTGAGTGTTTCCCGGTAAGGTTCACACCTGCCATCCTGACCCACCCAGAGCACCCTCTGCCCTGAAGCTTTGGCTGCCCCCCAAACCAAACGGCTTGAAAGCCCTGCGGAGCGAAGGGGGCGTGGGAGGCAGTGACTGGTGCTGTGGAAACGCTTGCAACAAACTTCGCAGGCTGTTCTTGGCTTGAACCAGCGAGCCTACCACCTACCCTGAAACTTGGCATGCAGATTCAGCCTAAACATCTGTCGGGGATTCCAAGTTCTGGTGTCTTGCGGTGCAGTGTGCAAAGTTTAAGAGACCACTTCTACATTTGGTAGCTAAGATGAAACTGACCTGTCAGGGGCCCCATCATGGCCCCCAGAGCGGCACCTGATTGCACAGGATCAATTTGCACATTTCCAGTTGTGCACCTGCCAAGCGGAGCCTGGGGGTGGCCCGAATGGAAAAGTCAAACGTCTCTGCGGTGGATTCCAGCTTGCTGCTGGGTCAACGGATTTGCATAATTCCAATTGCGATGAGATATTTATTTTTGTTCTATCGATGGTGTGATGTGCATCGCGAGCTGGGAGGTGAAGGCACGGAAGTTTGCTGATGCGATAGGGGGCACAAAGAACTGCCACCCTGCCCTGGTGTGTGGCCCAAAAAGCCTGTGGAGCGCAGCCTGCTGTTGACTGTGTAAGGGAAGCAAGTGAGCAAGGCATGTCAGAAACAGCTTGCATGGCACACTCAACTGTGTGCATGCACACATGAACAGGGCATGCTCTGCTGCAGAAAGGCCCTGTTGATGCCCCGTGCACTGCTCATCATCATCATCATCTTCTTCTTCTTCTTCTTCTCATCATCATCGTCATCATCATCATTATCACCATTATCCGCCGTTATGTCATGAAGAACTGGCTTCGCCAATTTTTCAGCGTCGCTTGCGACGCTTCCCCCACCTGTTTCTTGCGCCTGCCCCTCCTGCCTTTCTTTTTCTTTTGCGCCTCCTGCCTTCTTTTTCCTTTTGCCCCTCATGCCTTCCTTTTCTTTTTCGCTTGTCTCTTCTGCTTCCTTTCTTCTTTGCCGTTGATCGTGTAGCAGAGGCCTCCATGGAACATTGCTATGTCCTTGGGCATTGCTGAAAATGATGTTCCTCCTCCCAGCAGAGGGGAACAGGGGACATCGCTTTGTCCAGCTGGATTTAACCACCGCTTTCCTGAACAATAAGCAATAAGGGGAAAAGATTTGGGTTGGGCGCAGTTAAAAACAAACGAGTCCTTTTCGAATAGCAGGTGCCCTGGTCACAGCTGTGCTGTTGGCCGGTGCCTTCCCCCTACAAGGCAATGTGGAGAACCAGAATGACCAGTATGGGCCCTACCTCTGGAAGTTAACCTTTGCCTGACAGATGTCCTTTTAGTGCTTGTAATCAACCTGCTTAACATTCCTCATTTGCTTGTAGTACAGCTAATGGAATGGCAAACTTTTCATTTTGCAGGTGCCCTTGTTAAGGCTGCTGCTGGCTGGTGCTTCTCATCTAAGAGGCAAAGTGCAAAGCCAAAATGACCAGTACGGGGGCCTGCCTCCAGAGGTCCATCTTTGCTGACAGGCCCAGCTGGAAGCTATTCCTTGCCTGGAATACATTCCTTGCCTGAAAGTGGCACCCCTTTTCAAATTGCAGGTGCCCTTGTCAAGGCTGTGCTGCTGGCCGGAGCCTCCCACCTTCGAGGCAACGTGGAAAACCAAAATGACCAGTATGGGGGTCTGCCCCTGGAGGAGGCGCCCAGTGGCAAGCAGGGGTTTGGACGCGTGGATTTGAGTCAAGCGCTGCCGTTGCAAGGGAGCGGCAAGAACTGGAGGATGCAGGTGAATTTGCCTGGAAGGGTCACTGCAATGCTTGCTGCTTTTAAAAAAAAGGAAGAAAAAGCTCTGCACAGGACAGAAGCCACGCATTTTAAGGACAGATTCCCTATCTTTTGTAAGGGTAGTGAAAGCAGCACTGAATTTGGTGAGCCCAAGCTATTTTCAGGCTGAAGCATCTGCCTGGGGAGGAGTTAAGCAGCAGCCCCACCAGACAAGTGTGTTACCTGGAATCTGTGCGCACAGCACAATGCTGCTTTGAACATGGTGTCTAGAAATTTCATGTAGCGTCATTGCCTGGCTTGTAAGATCTGGTGTTGTTTGGTTGGTGAAAGGGCTCTAATTGCTCTTCTTTTCTGTCCTGAGGATCGATTTGTTCATTTTTTCAAGGAAGACCCGCGTGTGGAATGGAGGAAAGTGATTGCAGATGGGTACGCACATTTAGTGAGATTATTAAAGTGCTTGATGGTGGGTCAAGGAGATGTCCTGATAAGCCAGGGTTGTTAAGTTCCTTGCAAACATCTTTATAGCTCTCAGCACATGCCTTGCATGCGTGAGCATCAGCCGCAGCTTTGCACCTTTGAATGACAGTGGCGTGGCACAGAACACACACACACACACACACACACACACACACACACACACACACACACACACACACACACACACACACACACACACACACACACACACACNCACACACACACCACACACACACACACAACACACACACACACACACACACACACACACACACACACACACACACACACACACGCGCACGCACGCACGCACGCACGCACGCACGGGCGCACGCACGCGCGCACGCACGCGCATAAAAAACAGAAACTGGGATTAAAATCAATCTGATGCTCTTTTAAATTCAATGTGGCCACACATGGGGAATGAGCCTTTCATGGCAGGGATGGTGTCTTTCATTCCCTCAAATCCACTTTATTTTGTTTATACAAGAGCATACTGCAGCAGCCAGCTTGGCTCTGCTGCTCTCAATCTGCCTGCAAGAATGCACATCCAACGTGTGCACCCTGTACGTTGACGAGGTTGTTGACAAAACCAGGATCCAATGCACACTCCTCAGGTCATTGACACTGTCGTTGCATTCCATTTCAACAAGGTCATTGACAGGTCATTGACACTGTCATTTCAACAAAGGTCATTGACACTGTCATTGTATTTCAAGAAGATCATGGACACTGTCATTGCATTGTCAAGCAATGCACGCCTGGTGTGAACGCCTTGGGCGTTGACAGGATCATTCGCAACGCACGTCTTGTGTGCATCATTTGTTAGTTGTCCAGGCAAGAAGCGAGGTCATTGACAGGACCAGCATCCAATGCATGCACTCAGGGCAATTTGCAAGGTTAATTGGCATGCCATGCCCTGGCAAAGCACACCTCAACCACATCGGCCCTGCCTCTAACCTCGATCTCTTTTTTTAGTCATTTGCTCGATCTCTTTTTTTACCTCGATCTCTTTTTTTACTCATTTGCTTTATACATACCGCAGCGACACTAATGTATTACAACACAAAAGTTTGCGAACCCCTGCTCTTTTGCATCTCAAACACTGGCTCTTTGTCTCTAATCGCCTCTTCCATCTCTTCATCTGAGGATTCCTTGGTGTCCTCAAACACCTCCATCAGCTCAAAGCCCTTCCTCACCTTCAACGCTTGGGAGCTGCAGCTGTGGGGTCCACAAAGTCCTGAGCAACCTCTGCAAGCTCCTCCAATCAGCACACTTCCCCTGCCCTGCACTGCTTCCCGCACACCCGCAGCTGCAGCATCAGCTGCCACACTGTGCAAGCTGGGCAGCTCCAGCACCTCCTCCCTCTCAATAGGCTGGTACCATGTCAGCCCATGTCGAGCAGGGTTCTTTGCCCCTTAGGGGCACGTGGCTGCATTGTTCGGCCTTATTTACTGCGTAATGTAAACCCACACCTTTTACGAACCCTTGAAAAAAGCAATTTTAAAAAGTCGTTCCATATTGCGAGGTGCCTCAATAATTATATATTTAATCGTAAAACCCCCAGTGTCGCTGCGGTAACTCATTGCATTTTTCCTTTTTCCCTTTTATTTGACCTGCCACCAGACACTGCTCCGGCTCACCATAATAAGAAGCAGAAATTTTCAAGATTTTTAGAAATTTCCAGCCATGTTTTCATTTGGCAAGGATAATCCTTGGAGGCGTAATTTCAAGATCGAAACAGTGTGAATGTAAACATAGCGATTTTTTTTTTGTCAAATTGTCATTTAATCTTGGAAATGGTCGAAATTGAGATCAGATGTGCACGTAAGTTTCTAATTTAAAGAATTGTGTGTGGAAAAGGCTGGGGTATAAGTGGCGCGGATCTTAGTATATGCGGCAGACCGACAATCGTATGCGTGATACCATCTGCAAGTCCCCTGTTCGGACTGAGGACTTGCAGATGCCCCTCACTTCCAGAGGTTCACTTCATAGACCGGGCAGAAAGGTGAAGATGGGAAAGATGAAAACAACAGACAATCCCAAACCAAAAGCAATCTCCGAACCCAGGTTCGAACTGGGGACTTGCAGATGAAAGCATTCGACCATTACAGTCTGCCACTCTTCCAACTGAGTTATCCGGAGGAAAGCACTTGCTCACGAAGCCGATTTCCCATGTAATAATCCAATATTTTCAAAGCTCCTCATACTTTGTTGACGATGCCTACCACTCACTCAAAAGTCTGCACTCTGCCCGCTTAACTTCAGCTCCCCGCTGTCTCAACTTGTGTGGGCCTCAACTCTGTGTGGGTCTTTTCTGTCTTTGTTGTCCTCTCTTGCTTCCAGTGGCCTTGCCTTTTTTCTGGGCTTGTGTCCTTCTTAATTTGAACAGTTTTCCTTCTGCCGCTTGCTTTGGGTGGAGCTTGGGGTGTTGTTTCCTGCTTGAGTTAAGTTTCCTTCCTGCAACTGCTCTCCCGCGTGCCTTTGGCAGCTTGGCCTTGCCTTGTCCTTTCTCCGTGGGTTCTCAGTAGGGCTGGTCCTTTTCTTGAGTTGTGTTTCAGCGTCTCTTGTTCTCGCTCTTTCTTGCGGCTCTTCTTCTGCTGTCAGGTCCCTGCTGGGGGCCGCTCATGTAAAAAAAAAATGTTGTCTGTGGCTTGAGCGGGGCGCTGTAGGGGTTGAAGGGGTCTCAGGGTAGCTGTAGGTAGCTGTCTCCAAGTAGGGACCTGCGGCTGTGTTAGCCTCTCCCTGCTTTCAAACACAGCAGAACTGCGCCTGCCGTCTTCCGAGTTCTGTAGCTGCTGTATTCTCGTTCCCTCCCTGCCAGTCAGCCTGACGTTTGCCTTCCTGGCTGCCTCTCTGCGCGCTTGACTCTAGCTCCCCATTAACTATTAGTGAGTCTCTTTTTTTTCCTCTTATGCCCAGCAGTCCTTTGGGACTTGAACTTGTTCCAGAACCTTGAGTTCCTTAGCCTCCCTCTGCCGCTTGTTTGAGTGAGGCTTGTGCTGTTGTTGCCTGCTTAAGTTCAGGTTTCCTTTCTGCAACTGCTCTCCCGCGAGCCTTTGACAGCCTGGCTGAGCCTTTTTTTTTTCTTTCAAGGGTTCTCAGCAGGGCTAATCCTTTTCTTGAGTGGTGTTTCAGGAGCTCATGTTCTTGCTCTTTCTTGCGGCTCTTCTCTTGCTATCAGGTCCCTGCTGGGGGCCGCTCATGTGGTTAAAAAAAAACATGGTCACACAGGTGCACAGCACATGCATGGCACACTCATTCTTGACAAGGTCATTCACAGGCTTCTGCTGCATCCCCTCGTTGATGTTTTTGGGATGAGGGGCTGTTGCTCATCCCCTTCCTCCTGTTCAACCACAGCACTCTTCATGTGACACTGCATCTACTGGGCTTGCATGCATCGTCTGGACTTGAACCCTAAGAAAAATCCAATTTTGACTAATTCAAGCACATACGTTGACAGTGTGGTTTGCATGCATGCACCCAGGTTATTGACAAAGCAAAGATCAAGCAAGGGGAGGCCCACAAGTACTGTGCAACTGCTACTGGAGGCCCTTTCCGAATTGTCTTAGCCTGGCACGACTACCCAGGGGACCCAGCTGCTGGTAAGAGGCCTTGTCTGTGCACAAATGTGGTGTGGTGACTGTGCTGCATAACCTGGTGTTTTGACTCAGCCTAATGCGGGGGCAAGCACGTGTTAATCATTTGTGAAATGCCTATCTTTACTAATTTGGTGCAGTGGTGGCTGTGCTGCATGACCTGGTGTTTTGTCTCAGCCTTGCGTGAGGGCAAGCATGTGTTCATTATTCTGGGTTAGTTATAGAGGTAGCTCAACTGCCGTCATGTTAGGGCTTCCTGATCAAAGGCGAGGAGGATGTCAGCAAGGAGGAGGTCCCCGGATTGAACCCTTGTGGTTGGGGTGCCCAAAGCCCCCCATCGGTGGGAGTCACTGGGAGGCTCTTTCCTGGATGCACGCGGCTGAACGGCAAGTGTAAACCTTCTTCTTTTTTGTCTTAGATTATTTGTACGGGAAATGACTGTTTTTTTTAAATAATGTGGTACAGACTGCTGAGCTGCATGACCTGGTGTTTTGTCTCAACGACTTTTGAGGGCAAGCACGAATTGATCACTTGCAGAGGAAATGCCTATGTACAAATATGGGGCAGTGACTGTGCTGCATGACCTGGTCTTTTTGTCTCAGCCTCATGGGGTGGCAAGCACGTGTTCATTATTTGTAAAGGATTTGCCTATGTACAAATGTTTCACATGTGTGTTGCATGGCCTGGTGACTGTGCCACTTAACTTGGCGTTTTGTTCCACCTCAGGTGAGGGCAAGTGTGAGAGTGTGTTCATTACTTGAGGGAGGTGGCAGCACCGGAGGTGGCAGAACCAACTGCTGTCTACTGATTTGTTCTCCGTAGGTCAGGCGCCACAACCCTGTGTGATATCCTGCCTTTTGCCAGCCAGGCCACCTCTGCCAATTCTGAGCACACCACCAGAAAGCTAGTAAAAAAAGCAATTTTTCAGCGCTGAGCTGGTCCAATTTGGTGAACCCTGCTGCGCGCTAGGTCTGCATGTTTGCGCGCTCAGGCAGCAAAACTCACCCCCATTGTGCCCAAACCCTCCAGCTGCACCCCCAAGCCTGCAGGTGGACCCTGGGATGTGCCCTGAGAGCACAGGTGGCCACCTGCTGCGAGCTGGCGGAGGGCTGTCCTGGGGGTGCTCCAAAGCCAGTCGAGAGGAGTGATGACGATAGGGAACGGCTTTCTATTAATATTTAATGGAATTTAGGCACTTCAGCGGAGTGTTGTGACGGGGTCAGGATTTCAAATTGCAACCTCGTTCCAATTTCCGCGGCAGCCAGTCATTTGAGGTAAAAGACGCTGTTTTGATTTTATTTTGAAGGAACTTACTCAACCACTTTTCGCGGGCAGCAAATTCAGAATTCTGGTTGCGTAAGTTTGCGAGAATTATCATTAAAACTGCATTGACCTCCTCGGATGTGTGCCCACAAGCAAACTTTCCAGAGTTTATAGCTCCAGCAACTTTGCGGAGCCCGGCAGCTCCTCCCAGGCACCCATCATCATCTTCACAGCCCGCGGCGTCAGTGTCGATGATGACAATCCCAGGCATCGGCCAGGCCAAACAGCGGGTGCGGAGGTGGCCTATCGGGGCCTGGCCAGGCCTCCCAGGTTATGGGTGCTTGTCCGTGCGATGAAAATCCGACGAGCATCAGGGGTCCTCCCGACAATCCTAAATCACTTGCAATATTACCAGCAGGCTGCCCAAACACTCGCTGCTGCAGCTTGGGCCTGAGCAGGGTCCCTCAAAAAATAGCCATTCCCAGGGGTGACCAAGAAGTGCAGGTATGGGGCACAACTGATGCTCCTTAATTACTTGAGTATTAATAGAGGAACATCCATTGCCTTAAAACATGCACTGGTCTGCCCAAATGAGAGAAATGCATGTTTTTGATGCACAGAGCTCCACTTGAGCCACATCCAGATGCCACCAACATGCCATACAAGACCACTGACCTAAAGAAGCAAGCACCCCTACTCAGAAGTGGGTTTGAAAGTGTCCGGCAGTATATCACCCAAATTTGGCATAGGTTGTGGCACCTGACCGTAGGAAATGATTCGGATCAATGATCTTCCCATACAACAAGCCTCAGCAACCTGGCTATTGCTTACCTGCCAACTAAACCTCCAATGTGTAGCCAATTGTGGCATTGGGCACATGCGCATTGCGCAGATCAAGAACATTCTGGCCCCTGGAGTTGACCCAGCACCGTGGTTGTGACCACACGTTTACAGGGAAGACCTCCTTGCATTGGAGTGTGCCTACAGGTGTAGCAAAGCTTTTTTTTGATGGGATGGTACAATGCAGGCACCGTGCTTGTGAACAACTTGGACCTTGAGCTGCGCGCTGCTGGTCTGGGCGGCTACAAGCTCCAGGGCAATGGGAAGGTGGATGATTCCAACAACGTGGAAGCGGTAAGGCTTTCAATGCTTCAAGCCACCCTTTGAACCTTACTTTCTTAGTTTTATTTCCGTTGCTTTCTTTCCTTTCCTTTCCTCTCCTCTCCTCTCTTTTATCCATCATTTGCTGTCTTCTTCCCTCTTTTTTATCACCAAGAGTTGTCTTCTTCCTCTGCCCAGATCTACTAGCATCTGCAGTGTGTAGGTGGGACGGCACGCTCTGTAGTAGATCAAGTATTATTATAATGCTGTTGGTCTTCTTGAGGAAACTGCCCCCATGGTCCAAAGCAAGCTTTAATGTGCCCCTGTGTCCCTATCATCACAGGTTTTGTTGGAATCCTTGCCCCAAGGCAACGTCGCCATTTCTGTCAAAGCCACGCGCGTCACAGGCAATGTAAGTGCATGTCCAAGTTCTAGACCCATGCACCAAAAGTGCATCACTACCAGGTCAGAGCATTACAGGCAATTTGATTGCATGTGCTAGTCCTAGACAGATGCAATACGTGCACATCATCATCACCAGATCAGGGCGTTGAAAGCAATGTGAGTTCTATGAAGACATGTGCATCATCACCAGATTAGAGCGTCATATGTTGTCTCGATGGGAGCGCCAGCTCGTCCCTTACATCAAATACAATATGCGCACAGAAGATCAAAGCATCCCCCCCTGCAAGGGTGCCAGAGTTCGTCCCTCGTATTAGGAATGGAGTGCCAGATCTTGTCCCTTTCAACAGATACAGCACCTGCGCTGAAGGTCAAAGTGCATCTTGTCACTCCTGTAAGAGTGCCAGGGACCATTCTTTACATCAACCCTTCAGTTCAGAAATGGATTTTTATGCATGGCATGCAGTGATCGAAACACTAGGTGAGTCACAGCCTTTGAGCTGTGCAAATTGATGGCTGTGCGAGTGCAGTGGCTAGCTTCTTGGTCTAATCCTGGTGTAGACTGATGACACATAGGTAGACTGATGACACACTGGTGGATTGATGACACACAGGTAGACTGATGACACACAGGTAGACTAATGATACACTGGTAGATTGATGACACACTGGTAGATTGATGACACACTGGTAGACTGATGACACACTGGTAGATTGATGACACACTGGTAGACTGAGGACACATTGGCAGACTGATGACACACTGGTGGATTGATGACA